GTCCACCTTTAGACTAAGCATCATAAGTTATAACCTTTAACATTCGTTTCATTTGTTTTGTCCGTCTTACTTCATCCCAATTGTCATGAAGGAATGACATAACAGTCTTTTTTAATTGTTCTTCATTGATCTTCAAAGAAAATCTTAAGATCTGATCCCAAGTATGAACGTTAACCATTTCACCAATTCTGATTACGGCCATTTCTTTTAAATCTTCTAAATATCTTGCCTCAGAATCAAAATAAAGATTTTGTAATGTGTCTAATGATAAGTCGTTTCCTAGTTTATCCGTATAAAGATAGTATAAAATTGCTTTAAAAACCTGGAACTTCATGCCTTTAACATGAATTGGAGTTGTTCCAGCGACGCTCCATTCTCCATTGAATAATGAATCAAAATATTCTGAACGACTTGCAAGAGCAAATCGATTTGACTTAATACTAGAACCACAATCAAATTCAAACTCTACATCGCAGTATCTTTCATCCATAAAATATTTTTCAAAAGAAGATAAAAATGGATTTGTCCTTATTTCGTTCTCCTCATTGATGATATGCACTCGTATAACCAGTGTAACATTGTTTTGAATCTTTCCATCTTCAAAAATTTCGGCAAAAGGTACAAGTTTTCTAGTACCTAAAGTATCAACATCGTCCAAACTTTCAAAAACGAAAACCGATTTCTTAAATTTCCTTATAGCAAGTTGTGTAAGTTTCTTGGATTTAACATCAGGATCATCAACCCGAAACAATTCGAACCAAAATCGTTGAACTGTTCTTGATTTAGCACGATTTTTTTTTTCGTGCTTTGACCGAAAAGCTGTAAGAAATACTGCCAAATAATCAGGTTGATTCACATAACCATGTGGATATAAGATAAGACGCCACCAGTGTATCGGGTCTTTTGCTCCAGTTTCCGGATTAATTGTTACTGATTGCGAAGAAGCAAATCGTTCACTCATCATAAAGTCACTTGGTCCCATACGAGTATATAGGTCCTGAAACTCTTTAACCGACCACGTATAAGAAGTTTTATTGGACATTTCTGTTGATTGTGCACTTGTCATTTTATTACAAAAAATTTTCAGTCGTGGTAAAAAAAAAAAAAAAAAAAAATCAAAACAAAGATGTTTTGAAATAAACACACCTGCAGCTTTGTTGATCTTTCATCACGTGGTTACACAATATTTCCCGACAAATTTTCACAGATTGACATAGATTCAGGTGTTAAACATGAAAATCATGCGTTTTTTCATTAAAATTTTGTCACAAAACATCTAAACATACCCCTAAAACTAACAGTATATATGTATAGGTTATCAAGAAGTAATTTGTAAAGTATCAAAAATGAATGAATTGCAATTTTTTCTAATCAGCTGCGCACTAACAAAAAAATTCCTTGCAAAATTTTTGTATAAAAGCTTTGTTACGATCATAAACCCAACCTAATATAATATTTAATATAACTTTAAAATATTATATATTTTTTTTTTGATGAGATTTATCGGTACTACTGGTTAAGGTCAGAAACGATAACTTCAAAGGGAATTGTTATAACGCAGTAGCACGTGACCAACGTCAAAATCGCGAAAATTTAAATAATCTAAAATTGTTTAGTTGGATTTTTTTTCCTTTAGCGTCGACTAAGTAAAAGCTTTTCGTGATTAGAGTCGGAATCGATTTGCTTGATTCAACTTTAAATTCGGGTTAACCTGGTTTTAATAGTATATAACCGGCTTTGATAATGAATCGGTTTTATAAGTAAATTAAATTTTAGTTGTTAAAAATTCTAATAAATTAAATTCAGGTTCAAAATGTTATTACGTCATTTCTTGAATGTGTGCCACGTTATAAGCGTAGTAAACTGCAACAGTAATCTACAGTTTATATTTGCTACTTATTTGATCTTTGTTTATAGGTTTCTTTTGAATGAAACTTTTCATCTTGCATTTCGGGATATACAGCAAAATAGTACAATACAGAAACGTAAATTAATACTCTATATGTAAATTAAGTATATAAGACCTTAGTCAACTTTTAAAAATGAACCTTTTTGATAAGATTTTTTTTTATAAACTGTATATTACGTATTTATTTTATTAGCTATACATATTTGATATTCATTTTGAATCTTTACCCAAACTTTTAAGACCAATATGTTCTCGTTATTTTATTTAATTTGAACTTTGATGAACTACTACTATAAAAAAAATTTGAAATACGTTATGAAATGGCATGCTATTAGTTTGTGAATTTGAATAACTATAATTCTATAGACTAAAAGTTATAAAGGGACGAAGAGATGTACTTTTTTGAAAATAAAAAAAAACTCAAATCGGGTAGTAATAAGTTTTAAAGAATGGTGTTTTTGTTTATTAAAATTTTAATTTAGTATTATAGTTAGTACTTGAATCTTATTATAACTTTTTGAAATGACGCAAATTACTTTGGCTAATTAATACGCCACCAACCTGGCACACATTCAAGGGGTGCCTAATAAATATGTATCATTTAAATAATTATTGACAATTTTTTTCATAATACATTAAATTGATTGTTAGCAATGCAGCCACATTAATCCGTAAATTTTAATATTGATGTCGACTTTATTTAAAGTTTTTTTTTCTTTCCTAAACAGGATGCCCTAGAGTACCTTGATTTAAAGTATTTTGATATTTATATCAAATATAATATTTAATGAAATATATAAATATTTTATATGTAAAGGTATCTATAATATATATATACATTCAAATTTCTCAAATCTCTCTAAGTATTAAATGACATAGTTCCACCAACAAAATTGGCCTGATTTAAGTTAACATTATTTATGAATATTATTGACCTGATTATGGGTAGATATAGATTGTTTGCTAATGGTTGTCTGCTTTTATCATTTTTTATTTGATCATCGAAAATAAATCATGGAACAAAATGATAAAATACCCGAATTTGCCCTTCAACGATTTAGCAGACTAACGGAATATCATGTGTAATAGATAAAAATGGACTTTAGGGGCATTAAATTAATGATCAAAAAATGAACTCGCCCTTCTTTAGTCAACACTATTTTCAATTTCACTACCAATAAGATCTTTGATATTTTCTATTATTGGGGCATAGTTCATAACGTTTCCTTTTGACAATCTACCTACTTCAATTACTTTCCACTTGCCTATAATCAACAAAGAAAAATTCTATAAAGAATAACTCTTAAAAAATAAAAATATTTAACATTAAAGTTTACCATTTCTTGAAAATGACCTTACGGTATCATGTACCGTAAGGTCATTTTCAAGGCAAAGACCCCACATTATAACAGCTTGTGACTTGCTAGCCTTATGTATATTGTATTTACATAGTTGTTTATTTGGTTTCGCCTCATCATGTTATTTAAAGCTTGGATTCCGGAAATGTTTAATTGTCGGAGAAATAAATGAGCTTAATATTAGATAAAGCTGCGTAACACTAAAAGGAAGTTGATCGAGTTTCACTTTAATTTTATGATGCCCTGTAGCTGTAACAATGATATAAAGTTATTCAATACACATAAAAATAAAAATATATAATAAAGTATAATAGTAAAACAAACCACTTTGATGGTCCGTGATATCTCCAGAATGTTAAATATATGATATATCAGAATAAACTTTATGTGTAAAGTCGTACTTTTCCCACAATTTATCCTCTTCATATATCAAACAAGAGCCGTCAAGATAGTCTATTCCCGGGACGGGGTAACCCCAATATAAATCAAATATTAAATCTTTTAAAGCGCCCCTTTTCGAAATAG